ATGATAGTTGTTTAAAAAGTTTTAAACTAAGGAAAAAAATTGAACCACTACACATATCTTCAGTCAGGCAGAGGAGGTGTAGCATGGACAGGACAGGAGGTGGGGAATGGGCAGGGCAGGCAATGGGGAATGGACATGGCAGGAAGTGGGTACATACCTGGTGCAGATGTTGTCTTGGGTGTGCACCACTTCAGATGAACAGTATCCTTAGATGTTCCAGGACTTTCCTTTTTCCCTGGTGCAGTTTCATCACCACAAAACACGTCTATAATAATTTCATAAAATCATGTAAATAATTAGTCTGTAATGTACAGCATGTAATTTTGGGAGAGACATGCTGGCTTGCCAGTCAAACACTGGGAAAAACTTAAAATTGCATACTGGCAAACATCAAACATGGTTGTGGTATGGAGGCAATCTTACTTGCAACAGCCTGCTCCATATGCACTTGAGAGGAATGGACAATTTCCACATCATAGTTAGCTGAGCTTCCAGAGTGCTGCTCTTCCTGACAAACAAAAAATTCATTGGCAAAAAAATCCCTTCAGTCTACAGTTGTAATAAACCCTTGCTGCACATCTGGGCATCACCAAAAACCAAAAATTTCTTTTTGAACTCAAAAGAAACAGAATATTAGAGGATGGTGTCCACCACTAAAAAAAATATATCCTACTTTCATTGGTATCCCTGTGACTGTTGTAGACTTCAGATGAAAGTGCTTCTGTGCCATGATGCTGAGTTTACTAACCAGCTGAGATGCTTTGTGGGAGCTGATGGTTATTGACAGCAAAGATGATCCCTGGAAAAGTGCACAATATTTTCATCTTTACCACAGCTAAACTTATGACTGACATTGTATTTAAAATAATTTTCTGTTGTCCTCAATTTCCAAATGGGATTTTGAATGTAATGTACAAAGAAGCTATTTATAAATTTTGAAGGTATCTATGGGGTATTTTGGCCAAGAAAAAATATCACATCAAATCAACCCCAAACTAATTTTTCCTTTCAGGTGATTCCTCAGTATTGCACTGCACACCTTGTACTGCACACAAAAATCACATAATCAGGCCAATGAGCCTGTGCACATCTCAAGGACATGTCCTGTATTATTTTTCAATCAATTCACCAAGTAAAGAGGCACAGTGGTCATTAGCTATTGAATGAGCACAGTGACCTTTTTTTTTTATTGAGTCAGACTAATTTTGGTACACAAATTATCACCTTTGGTACTGTACATTTATTTATTTATTTATTTATTTACCATATTACGAGCATTCCCTCTCTACAAGGCTTAAATGCTTGGATCCGGTCAGGTTCATAAAGGTTCTTCTAAGGCAGACCAATGAACCACCACATGATAATGAAATTATCATGCGGTGTAGAACACCAAATTCTCAATACTAGCCAATAGTAAATAATAGGGCCATATGCTTGGAGAATTAAGCTTTATGATCACAGAAATGAGAAGGTTAAATCTCATGTCTTCAGTAATCCTATCAAGTTCATACCTTTGGTGCTTTTTCTGTAAACTTTCCACTGTCTCCACTCAAAGGGACATGAATAAAAATGAGGTCTACATTCTTGATTGGTTGGACACTAAAAAGGTGATTTTTTGCACAAAAATTGCTATCACTCCAAACTATCTCTGTACCAACAAACAGGTCTACCATTAAATGCCTTACATGTATAACAAGAATGGTTTGTATTGGTTCAAAGGGCCAGATGGAAGTCACTTTTTTCTCTTTTAGTATGGAGAAAACAAAAAAGTGCCAGAAATCACAAATCAAAACTAGGATAAATTCCCACTGATATAAACATCATTAATAAAAAATCCTAGAACATCTCTTGTTTAATGACATTTAATAAGAATAAAAGAGAGAATTTATACATGTCTAAAGAATGAAGTCAAGTTAACTTAACTAATTTATTCCAGTTATTATCTAAGCCTAATTGTAAGTAACGTCAGTAGTGTATGTGTTTTGTTCCAAGAAAATGTAATGTTATTAATAAGATTAAGTTTTTTAGTCTTTACTTTTCTTACAAAATATTGTAAGTAAAAAAGAAACAAAGAATGAAGTCAATAAAAAAAAAACAAACAAACAAAACACACACAAGAAAAATGACCTCAGGAGAAATTTCTTTAAATTTCTTACCTGTCACTTGAACCCACTTCACTGTTCTGTTGTTCTAGTATATCTGTAGCACATGCTACAAGAGCATGGACATGGCCTTCACTAAAAGAAATGGTAACACAATTTTAACTCGCTGATCCTGGAGGATCCATCTACCAATACACCTGCACAATACATAAAACAACTTGAATGGAGCAACCAATCTTTTCATCAAGAATGAATATCTTGTCAAGCAGAAAGGTGTGGAGAAAAACAAAAATTTTCAATGCGAGGATACTTTGTAATTAAACATCAAATTCTCAGAACTAAAATGATTAGAAATGTTTGACCAACAGTGTAGAGAATTGATATTTGGATCTTGGGAGTCAAAGGGTTAACCTTTTAACCCCCAAGAGTGACTAGCATCAGTAATTTCTCCTTACAGTAGATAAAGTTATTAGAGTAAAAAGAAATAATCAACTTAAGAAGTGTTCAGTTGTTAAACAATTTCTACTTGACAGTACAATAAGAGATGTAAAATGAACAGATTGAAGAATATGCATAACAAAGTTTGGATGTAACGGTGAACACAAGGAAAATAAAATGGATACATGTACTTAATTTAAAAACAATTCTTCTTTTTGCGAATACTATTGGTTAAGTCTAGTAACCAAATTATTACATTTAAAAATAACATCAAAGCCACTAAAATAAAATTGATGCTAACAAATTAAAGAAAGCTAATTTTGGAGAGCTGAACATTATGACACAAGTTCACTTTTAGGACATAACAAAACAGGACTGACTTTTTCAAGTTTGTGATGCAAATAATCCTTCCTGTATCAACAGAAGAAGTTGTTTGATGCGTTTTGGAGTTTTGAGGCGGTGGTTCATAGAGACATTGGACAGCTGATGTTAGTCCATATATCATGGAACAGTTTTCTCCATTATCTTCCTTAGGGGATCCAAGGCCAGCAAAAGACTTTAATAGCTATCAAATACCATTAAGAACAATGAATTGTATAGCAATTAACTAACAAGGAGCTAAGGGAAAGATCAGGTCAGGTATCTGTTCAAATAAAAGTCATTTGGAGGAAGAGGAAATGGATCGGGCACTCCTTGAGGAAAAATTCTGACAGTGTTACTAGGTAACCCTTGAAATGGAATCCCTCAGGCAAACAGAAAAGAGGATGCCCAAAACAATACCTAGCAGCAAGATGTTCAGGCTGAGATGAAGAATTGCAGCCACACCTGGACCACACTTGAAAGGCAAGCCCAGGACAGGAAGAGGTGGAGAAGGGAAATTGTCAATGGCCTATGTCCAGAAAAACATAAGGGAATTAGAATGAATTAAAGTCAAACCTGTATAAAGCAGTCACCCACAGTAAATTTGTGTGTTGACTGCTAAATACAGGTTTGAGTCTACCTACAGAACAAGAATAAGCCCCAGTTTTTAGTGTTATTTCTGGTTTAAGCTGATAAAAATCTGTACAGTCTATCCGGTCAGTGACAGGGTCTATTTGCCAACAAGATTTTGAACCTCAGATACAAGTGTACTGAGCTTATAAATGTAATTTGATGACATCCTTACCTGTGGAACACACTGCTGTTCATGAGACCAAGAGTTCATCACATGGGCATCATCATCAGAAACAACTACCTTGACCTTAGAAAAGAATGCAAAATATTATCGAAAAAGACCAATTTCTTCTTGTTGTTTTTTTGCTTTTAATTTAAAGTCCTTTTCTTTCTTACTCTACATTTCATCAGGCAAAATTGCCTTTGCATGTACAAGATCTCGTCGAGTTCCCCCACACTCTGCAGACTGGGTTTTCTACAGTAAGATTTTAGCTCTTATTTCTTACGGAGAGCGTTAAAAAATTCAGTACCTCTACCCCTTCTTAGCCCCACCCTTCATCTTCCCCTCCTCACCAGTACATATCTTCTCGCCGCTCAAAACAACTGCGACTGGATAATACTTTAAAAAAAAAAGGGCAAGATTCCCACACAGCCCCATACTTCATTATGCATACAGTTATTGGATCTGGAAAACAATGGCGAAAAAACAAAGGATTACATTTGGGGCTACGGTTCTGCTTAAGAATAGTGTGGGGTTATACGGATATCTTTCCAAAAAGGAAAGACTTGTTTTCCAACCTATCTAGCGTGAATTACGAGACGAGGAAAATTATTTACACACAAATCAATACAGCACGAAATACAAAATGTGACCAGACTTACCAGATACTCATTTGGGAATATATCGTACACAATTCTACAGTACTCGACTGCCGCTTCGATACTGCATGTCCAAGAGCTCTTGAAAACAGGTGAAGAAGTCGAGCTGGAACCTTTGCTCTTGCTTTTTTTCCCTCCACCATCAAAGTCAATATGCTGCTTAGACAACGTCAGAAATTTGGAACTGTGATCTAACACAATCACAGTTCTCTTCATAGGAGCTTTTGCTTTATCGCTAGCCATCGTAAGAGACTTTTACAGCCACGGAAAGCGTGGCTTACTTTCTATTACTTTTGTCCGCCATGTTGGAAGCCTGGTCACAAAGCAGGTTACAGAACTCCAAGAGTTCATGAAGATTTTACGCGCCTGTCACGTTTTGTGACTCGCTACATGGCCACTGTAGTTTTTGCCATGATGAATTTGTTTTTGCTGTGACCGATTTGCTATTGCCGTGGTGACTTTTGAATTGTCGTAATTGGTTTTGTTTTTACCGTGGTTGTTTGGTTTTTGCAATAAGTAATTTGATAGTTGTCGTTTCAAATTTGATATTGGCGTGACAGTTGTGGGCCACCGTACTCCTCAAATTTCACGTAACTCAAGAGGGAGATCTGAACGGAGGTTTCAGTTTCAGCGTTTTCTCAATGGTCAGTGCTAGGGAGAAAGCTGCTACTGTGGTCGGAGGTGAATGACCTCATTCTGATCGTCGCGAGTATCACGCTCGTCACGACATCTTCCAAAGATCAGTGTTTACTCGGAAATAATTGTAGACATTATTGCGACGCTATGGGGTTGAACGCGGCGGAAACCTAACATGGATTGCAAGGAACCAAGGAAATTGAAGGAGGGTTTTCTTGTGAAAAAGGTACGCATGCTACCAAATAAATCATATCAAACGCTGCTTACAAAAAAAAAGACTAAACAAAGAAACAAGAAAATAACTTTGATCGGGATGTCAGTTAACGCAATAAGATATTTCTAGCCGCAGAAATTTTTTCCGCAGCACCGGAAGAACTTTAAAAGAGACGTATAAAAAGATCGTATATTTTCTTATTTTGAATCTAAATTCAAGGACCATAGATAGTATTTCAAAAGTGTAATCGATGAGTGGTTTTTGCACTGTTGTTCACAGTTTGAAATGTTCGTTAATTCGCACCCCATGTTGGGTTTGCAAAGCTTGTTTTGTGTTTACTCAGTTGAGACTGTCGTCTTTAACGACATGTATTATCATATCTTTTGTTCTTTTTCAAGGGACATGTTCGTCACAATTGGAAGACAAGATGGTTTGTTTTGCATGAAGAAATGTTGGTGTACTTCAAGAAAAAAAATCAGGTTATCTTTAGAGATGTTGTAATTGAAGTCTGTCGATCATGATGAACATAATTAGTTGTTAAAGCTGATTGCAAAACTTTTCTTGAGATTTCTTTGTTGGTAATAATGGCAAACAGCATTAACACTATCATTGTCTGCAAATGGGACTTTCTATGCAGCATTCATTTCTCTCTGTTAGGCGAAGGGTATACAAGACAATCGAGCCGTTAATCTAATTTTATTTTATTCTAACTTTACCTAGTCTTAAAGATGATCTACCATTCTCAACATTGTTTAATGTATCTAAGAACTCTATGCATAATGGAGTATGATGCTGTGCAACCATGCTACACTTTTCCCATTTACTCCTTCTGAATCAATTTCCAGTGTGTCCAGTCCTGTCGGTAGAAGGTAATGGGGAAGAGTTGGGGACATATTAGAGGGAGGGGGGGGGTGTGTGGGGGGCTCAGTTAAAACATGGGTCTTAATGATGCATTTGCAGGAGGCCCCCAGAATTATGCATCTCTCAGAGTTGAATTTATTTTTATTTATCCCCTAACTAATTTTATTTTATGTTTTTTTTTATTTAGATAATGTATAATGCTGGAGAGATTCCACTGAGAGGCTGCTTTTTAGTCTCGCCCTGCACAGAGTACACCAAAAAGGAGGTAGTGTCATTAAAGATATCTTTGGTATTTCACCATGATGTTTAATCTTTTAATATGCAATTATTAATGGAAATAGGACTGAATAGACTCCAATTGGGTCTGTAATGCATCAATAAATTTTAAGCTTCAACCTGCCCTTAGGAAATCCCACAGCATTTGAAGATAAGTTTGTTCAAATTCCCATCCCTCAGGGCAAAAATTGTGTTCAAATACCCCATCCAATTTTTTTGTGAAAGGCAAAATCAGTGATTGTGACTTTGTACACATCAACCAAGCTATAAGACCTAAATCTTGTAGACCATTTCTCCTGATCTGTTAGTTCGTGAAATTAAACTATTTACCTGAAAAAACTCCATATTTAAAGATACAACACTCCCACTCTGCTGGGAAGACTCCACAGTTCTGTTCAAATTCCCCACCCCAGCCAAGCAAGTTTCAAATTCCCCACCCCAGCCAAGCAAGTTTCAAATTCCCCACCCTAGCCAAGCAAGGTTCAAATTCCCAACCCCAGACATGGATGGTAGTTAAATTTCTGTGGGTTGCCCATATGTGGAATCTTGGAGCTTAGAAATAATTGGCACATAATCAAATGAGTGATTAACAAAAATGTCTCTGGGGTTGGATAAATTCATTAATATGTTGTGTGTTTCAGGGAGTGTTTAGGATAACAACCAAAGAGAATAGAGAGTACTTACTTCAGGCAGCAAATGAAGAGGAACGTGAACAGTGGACCACAGCAATTGCAAATGCAGTCAGAGGATTAGATATTAAATATAAGGTATTGCTGAGCTTGAGAGAAATAATGTTTACATATCATCATCACATGGTGGTCTTTTTGATAACTGCTGCAAGCCACAGTGTTGTAGTCACCATGTAGGTACCCATTACCCGGTTTTAATTACAAGATTTGATGTTTTTTTTTTTGTCGTGACTTTTTTGTACTTCTTTTCTGCAATTCTTTATTATCACAGCTTTCTGTGCCTGCAAGGATCCTTTCTTTAAAATACCTACCTTTGACCTGTGTTTATCTTTATGATTGCTCAAAGAATCAGGTTGTTGTATCTCAACAGAAATAAAAACTGGTAGGATAAGTGAGTTAATGAGTCAGGAGCCTCTTAAACTCTTTCACTCCCAAGATCTCATTGGTAATTCTCCTTACTGTCTGCTATACAGTTCTTATGATAGTTTGGAGAATTTGGTATTGGGTCAATTTATAATCCCCAATTGATATTTTTCTTCATTTGCATCACTCATCTGCTGGATATTGTAAGGAGAAATTCTGTCTTGGTCACTCCTAGGAGTTAAAGGGTTAATAAAATGATATTTGATCTTATGTTTTTACAGCACACTGATACCGAGGAGGTTCCAAGAAGTCCTTACCCAAGGACAGCTGTACAATTCACTCCAACACAAATAAGGTTTAAATCAGATCACAGAAGTAATTTTTTATTCTATATTTTTGGTTTTGATGGAAATTTTGGCTGCTTATCAGTCTAGTATGGGATAACTAGGCTAGCTGTTATGTTCCTCAGTCAATTCGTTTATAATATATGATATCTTCATCTATAAACTGATACCAGACAATGAATACAATTACAACATTAACAAATTTAGGGACATGGTGGAAGCAATGCAAGATGCAGATGCAGGAATACCTCTCAACAATCATTTGTGCCACAAGGAAAATAAAACTTACAAAATCTGCTTTACTGGTGAGAATCCTGAAAATGAGTTCAAATTTACCATTACTATTTGCCTTAAACTTACAGAAGTGATTAAAATGTACATTCTCCCAATAACATCTATACATTATCTAGAAAATAAGTGATGAGAATATGCAAATTTTTAGAGTAGAAGTTTTTATATTTATGTAACACCAAATTCTCACAACTTATTTCCAAAGCAATGTGAAGGAGCTAAAGAGGGGAATTAACAAACAGATCTTAGTTAAAAGGTTAATTCATTGGCAAACTCAACTTTAAATCATGAAACACTTTAGTTTTGCCATCATATTTTGTCATCAATGTTGCACATCTCAATTTTTGACATGATGAATAAAGAATAATGGGTAAGTAAAGTGTCTAATCTAAACAAAAGTATTGTGCTGAGTAGTCAAGCAGTGAATTGTTCAGTCAGAGTACTTAAATGAGCATTTGAGAACCACATGGTGTTTACAATACAGGGATTCAAATGGTTGACTGGCTTCTTAAATGGTCCTTTGTGTCAAGTCGTGAAAGTGGTATTGCCTTAGCATCTGTGCTGTTGGAGGATGCCCATCTCCAGCCAGTTGGAATAACAAGTAAAACATCATTTAGAAGAAAAACACAATTTGAAAACTGTGACACATTTCTGGATAGTTCAGATGCTCTTTACAGATTTGTAAGTAACATGCCTCATGCTCTTGAATTAAAGTAATTTTGATTAGAAGATAATTTCAATGGTTGGCACTATTCATGTAAAGTGTAACTATGTAATTTGCATTTCAGAAGAGACAGGTGATTCATTAAACCCTTCTCATCAGTATCCATATTTCCCACACTCCTCTCTACAAATTTCCTTTGGTACTGACATGGAGAGTTTCTTAAAAATTCAAAACTTCTTAGGATGGCAATCATTTTTTTTTACTCTCATGGTCTTAATGAAAGATTCAGCAGTATAAGTGTGAAAAAAAATTAGATGCTGGTTGCTCTTTGGGTTTTAAGGGTGAAAGCATTGAAGTTGTTATATAAGCTGTCCCTTCTGTAGAGTTAGAGTTATAGTTATAGTACTAGTGTCTCACTGAAAGCGGTATCTAGTACCTCAGGGTACATGTATGTAAACTCATCTTACGTTACTCTCACCTGGAAGGTTCCCATCATTTCTTGCCTTTTCCATGGAAGATAACAGTGGCTGTGTGGTTAGGATGTGGAAACTTGAATCTTATGATCCAGGCTTAATCCCTGATAGGGTTATTGTGTTACATTGTTGGGCAAGACATAAAACTTTTGCAGAGCCCCTCTCACACCCCCTCCTCCCTGCTCACCTCAAGAGTACACACTAACAACAGTGAACTGCCTGGGAAATTGATGAAATGTTCGGGAAGGGGGGGGGGGTGGGGTAGAGCGACCTCCCACATTTAGTGTACAATGGACTGGCAACCAATCTAGGTGGGAGGTGGGGATAGTGGCAACATGTAATAGTAGCTGCGTAGTGCCTCAAAAATCAGGGGTAAGCATCAACAGTTATGGCCTTCTCAGTCCAGACTTGTGGTCACCTTGTATTTTTCAGTCTGCTCTGAGATTCAGTGCCAATGAAGGTTTAGAGTTAGAATGGTCGGATGACTCTAGTGATTCTGACGATGAAATTCCACGAGATCAGGTATGTTTTGACTTTGTTGTTATCGTGTTGTTTTATAATTAGTTGGTAAACCATTACAACCATTCATCACTGTTCCTTTTTCTTTCCCTCCCAGTGTGGAGCTATCAAAGGAAATATTGTCAAGCAAGGCTTCCTACAGAAAAAGGTCCATACTGATATCAATAATCTTCTCCTAAGGTTACTTGGAAATGAAACGAGACTTTTTAAGTGTTTGTTTGCACCAAAGTAGAACATTTTTTTGGTACTACACAGTTTAGAATCAATGGTACATCTTTTTTGAATATTATTATATTATTGTTGGGGAAAGCCTGATGAAATGCGGGGGGGGGGGGGGATTAAGTACTGGCTGGATGGGCAACTTGGCACGAATGCGGACTCTATCTACCCTTTTTAGGGCAGCTCTTTCAACCAACGTGTAGCTTTAAATTTGATAAGAGTTTTACTTTGCAGACTGGCGATTTTTTTTCTCTGACTGTTGAATTTTTGCGGTTTGAGGTGACTGAAAATTTTACTGGTAAATAATTTCGCGATTTCTTGTTAAATCAGATAAAGCTTAGCGGGAAAGGGTCCTAAATGACGTTTTTGTTTTCATCGGCCGTCTGAAGCTACTTGAAGTTTTGCATCTGATTGGCAGAGAGAGTGACGCGAATTTTCTTGACCAATCAGGGAGCGTTGTGAAACAGAGCCGATGCAATCATGCATTAGTTTTGACGCGCAATTGATAATGCTCTAAATATAACCCACAGGGCCATGTGCGACACAACTGGAAAACAAGAAAGTTTATCCTTTGTACAGAGCCAACTATCTTATTTTACTGTCGGCCTTCCAAGGTAAAACTTTAGCTTGGATGTATCTGTCCATTTACCATCTTTTCTTTGTATTCTGAAGTCCCTTTTCAATTACGCAGTTAAATTGTTGATTTTTCCCCTAGGCATCCGCGCCAGTTGGACGCATCAAGTTGCAGGACATTGAAGTAAAGACTCTTAAAAACGACGAAGAATTTTCCGGAACCGACAGTGAAAATGGTAACATCTCTAACTGAATTTTGACATACGTACTCAGGGTGAGGGGGAGGGTAGAGGTGAAGTGTGGGGGGGGGGGGGGTTGTGCTTTAGATGTGTTGAGTTTGTAAAAAAGCGTCGTGTTCTTCTCGCGAAAGATAAGTAAAATAACGCGATTTTTGCGCTATGTTATTATAACTTTTGAGCACTTCGTGCCTTCCAGGAAACGATGGAAAAAATGAGCGATTGTATTGCAAGACGATAAGGCAGATGTTAGATATATTTTGCGAGTGAGAGTGAACACTCAAAAATCAGGAGAAGAAACTAATTGAGGCATTTGATTATACGCGGATGTCCACTGGAGCCCTCTGTCTGTAGTCTGTCCGTTCTGTCAGTCGATCTGTCTGTCGATCTGTCAGTCCGACAGCCTGTCGGTGGGTCAGTGTGTCGTTCGGTTTGCCAGTGAGTGCTAATGTCTGGCAGTTGCTCTGTTATTTGGTCTGTCAGTCTGTCTATCGGTCTTTCATTTGTCATTTGCTTCACCAGTTGGTACGTCTGTTGGTTAGTTTATCAGTCAGTGTCTATAAGTCTGTTTTCCTGCTTATTGCTCAATTTTATTGATGGGTTTGTCCGTCCGTCGGTTTGTCTTTTAGTTGGGCTGGCAAACTGTCTGTCAGTCAGGCTATCAGTCTTTCCGCTCGTCATTTGCTCCGCAGTTGGTCTGTCAGATGATCCGTTTGTCGCTTGTTTAAGTCGGTCTGTCAGAAAAATCGTAGCTGTTCTTACAAGATGGTTTTCTAGCAAGGCCGTCCCATCTACTCTGGTGACTCAAGTAAATGAGAATATTCTCATTTTATTTATCCCAGGGAGAAGAAAACAGACAGCCCAGTATACATTTCTTTTACGAACAAGGAAAGGAATCAAATACATTTTCCGAGCAGCGTCCGAGGAAGACAGAATGGAATGGGTACAAACTCTTCAAACCGTCTGCAAGAACTCTTGGAGTATGGAGTAAAAAATACTTTTGAGTATTGAGTTGAAAAATACTCTGGTACTTAAGACTAATGAGGTAAATTGTTGGAAAATTACGAAGAAAATACCACCATACGCCCGTTACGTAATGATCATTTTGATGTGGACTGCTCAAGAGCACGAGATTTTCCAGCAACACTAAAACAGTGAACTTGCACCAGCGTTGATTTGGCGTGAAGTACACCGCAGTCACGTGTTATCGACACGTTCGTATTACATTTGCGATCAGGAAGTGTTTGATTTCCTCTTTTACGTATCCCTGTTATTCAGTAGTTGAAAAGAAGCTTCATTGGTACGTTTTCGCATTCGCATTTGTCCTGATATCCGTAACGCCCCATGTCAAATTTTTTGTACAACTGCAGTCATAAATTTTTACCATCTTGGAAGATGATAGAAACAGATTTTTAAACTGAAAAGAAAATATGTTTGAGGAGGACTAAATATGAAAAAAGCCCTATCGTTTACGAACGTTTTTATTATCTATACGATGTAAAAGAGTATTATTAAGGCATTGAATTAAAGAAAGAAAAGCCACCATATCTGTGAAAAGGAAGAAGAAAATTGTCTGTAAGTCGCATCGTTGAACTTAAATGCATGAAACAAGTAAATAGAGTCAAGCATGATTAACCACTGACAGCTATTTTCCTCCCATAATGTATCAGTAAAACATTAAGCAGAGGATGGCGACATGGAGACAAATATTCATTTAACAATTATTCGCTTAAGGCCGAGCGAGTGTTGTCAAATAGTCCCCGATACAAAAATTCGTGGGTGTCAATCCATAATATTAGCCTGAGGGGATTATTTTCTTTCTTAGCATAACTGTTCGGGTGATTATCAGAGAAACTGCTCTTTCTTTCGTTTGATTTGCTTCTTTTAACTCACAGGACGGCCATTTGAAAATCAGGGCTTCATTATGATTATCACCTCGCAGGGAGTGATTATGGCAAGATATGGGGTAATTTTTGACCAATCAGAGCGTGGGCATCTGTAATCACCTGAGCAATTGTGCTGCATAAAGAATCATGTAAATATCAATTCCTAAAACTAACACCATAAGAAGTTTATGGTAGAAGAAATTGGGCGCGTCTGTCTAGTTGTGTGGTCAAACATAATTTTACTTGGACATAACTCATTTTTGGCCGGACAAGTATCCATTTCGTCATAGCTCAATAAACTCCCCCCCCCCCTTCCCCCCTTTTTCCTGTACGAAACAAGTATATTTAATGCGCTTTTGTTGTACGTGCAGCGTAAAAGTGAAGACAAAGTGATACTCTTGTGGTATTAGTAAATTTACAAATGTAAATTTACAAACATTCATAAATAGAGAAAATGTTGTATGAAAAATTTCCACTCTCTACTATTTATCGTAACAAATCTGGCTGTAGACAACATCATCAAATCTAGAATAATAAATGGCTTGTCAACTCAGCAGTTAACAAATTTTATAATCCCATCAAATCTAAGAGGTAGACATAACTTAGAGACTGTGCGCTTTTCACAGTTTTTCACCATGTTAATTAATGTCAAGTTATCTTTTCCTGCGGTGCCCCCATTTTCCTTCTTGCTGAAGCAGTTCAAGAACTCACTATTTCTTGATAACTGAGCTTTTTGAATCCAAAAATTTCATAGTCTTTCGCGTATATATTCTGCAGTCGTGTGAATTCTTCCTGCGATATTTGCGAATAGAAAGTCTTCATCTTCGTTTGTGATCCTTGTCCTTCGGGTGCAGCTTCGACATTTGGGAATGTAACCTCTTTATCAGCTCCCATCAACATAATAGCGGCGTCAGCATCTGCTTTGATATTATCATATGTACCGACAAAGTCATAATTCATATCACACGGAGCGCATAAATTATGCTGACGATCCCAGTGTTCATCATGAGAGCTAACAGGCGTAGAAATCGCGAAATTTGCGAATTCCTTAAATGTGGGATAATCTGGAGTTAACCCTGTAGAATTCTTCCGCATCCTCTTGATGATGTTCAGGCCGATGTTGTAGTAAAATCCCCTTCTAGGGGGATCAACGGGTGCAAATTTACTCCGGTAGGCCGACAGAAATCGCTCCATAGGTTCGCGAACAAATGCAATCTTTTTGTATGTTTTCAACATGTTATTTACTTTTATAGCATCTGAATAATGTCTCAAAAAGCGTAACTTTCCTGATTCGTGCGAGGTGTCGTGCGAGATATCTTCCGTTGAGTTGAAATGTCCACCTAAAACGTGAAAAATTCGTTTCCAGTTGCTACATGCTACTTTAGGAACGAAACAGAAGAGTGTTTTGTAACGCTCGGACACGATAAGGTGATGCTTGACGACATATTGAATTGGTTTTCCTCTGCCTTGCTTGATACAAGCAGTCGAATTCCAAGGCCGATATTTTTTCATGACAAGATCGTTCTGAAATCAAAAAAAAAAGAGAAGAAAATTAATTTAAGGTGGTTAACTTACGCTGGAACACTAAAGTTGACAAAATCGCTGAAAAAGGGCTTCACGAACCGATTCTTGTTAACTAACAGCGTATAGAACAAGTCTTTATGTCTCATTTTGTTTCTGCAATCATTTTGATTTGTAAGACTTGTTTCGGGGACAAAATTATGTGTCAGGGGCAAATATTTTCGCACAATTTATTTTTTAAGGAACCAAGAAGGCGCATAGGCATTCGACTCCAAATGAATAACAAGAGAAGAGGAAACTAAAATCATCCTTTCGAGCTGCTTCCTTTTTTTTTAAGGTGAATGCAAGCACTTCTCGAATTGGATTCAAAACACAAAGTGCATACAACTTTCAGAGGTTAGGTCTGAAAACGGGTATGGATTTTCAGATTAGCAGGTCTGAAACGGTTGCGGAAAAAAGCGTGTTTTCGCGGAAAATAGGGTCAGGTACACTCCTTACCAAGAATTCCGGCGAGAACGAAAAACATGCTCACTCACTCAAGTGATTACTTACCTGTGCCTCTCTCTTCATCTGTTCAATATTCTGGGAAACTGTTGGATAAAATTGAAGTTTTACCATAAATATAATTGTTGATAAAGAGCGTTCTCCGGTTGGTACTGTTCTACAATAATCTCATTAAAATACAACTGATTCTTACTAAGTGTTCATGAAAGTGTTCATTGCTGTGTCTGAGGACAAACTAAGGTGGCCTAAAAATTGTCTCGGCAAAAGAAATAACCCCGCAACAAAAGGAAGAACCTCACGGCAAAAAGAAAAAGACTCACGACAAAAGGAAAAGGCCCACGGCAAAAAGAAAAAACCCAACGGCTAAAGAAAAAACCTCCCAGCTCCCGCGCTCTCTTTTATGCCGTGAGGACATTGTTATTTCTTTTGCCGTGAGGTTCTTCCTTTTGCCGCGAGGTTATTTCTTTTGCCGTGACATCTGTGGGCCACCGTAACAAACCCATAGCTTATAATTTTTACAAATATGATTAACAGAAATATTATTATTGTTATTGCGTATGTAATTGTTTTATCTTTATGATTTACAACTTCTAATACCATTTTCACCGCTGGTGGTGGGGTCTTGAAGTCGCAATGGGGTAGTGCAAGTATCACAATCATTTCCTTTCTGATGTGATCCATCGTTCAGTTGTAATAAAATTTGCTGATCAGCTGTGAAAAATTACACCAAGTCAGTCCTGGATTGAGACAATTTCCTAGAAAGCCGACTTCATTTGAGTTAACAACTATGACATAAATGTACATGAAAAAATTACGCGCTTCTGATTGGCTGGAAACGAGTGCATTCGCATGCAACACGAGTGCAAAGTTGTGACACGAGTGTAAATTACAAATAGCGCGAGCACGCTTTCAAAATTACCTCTGTCTTGACTTTCTGTGATTTTTTTTCATGTACATTATTGTACATATTGTACATTACATGTAAATTTTTCAAAGACTATGGGCTCGTGCAAAATTTGTTGTCTTTGAAAAATTTATTTGTGCTTGTGAACACTAAATTGGACTCAAAATCATGTTATTACCCATACTTATAGTTGTTGATTGAGTATAATTATTCAAAGTGGCGGCAAGATTCTGCAACCACACAGCTTCATTTTGAAATGAGAACAAAAAGAACGCAAACACAACTGGTCCCTAAAGGACACCAAAACGAAATTTGCCATGACCTGGAAAATAATGGCTTGTGCCAGACTGTAATCAAAGGTGACAAAGAGATGCAGCCTGCGCACAATGGAAAATTCTTAATCAAATGCAAACCGGGAATGGTCACTGTTAACAAAATGAACGTACTTACGACTGTGTGCGAACATGCAAGAAAGTACTTGATAATACATGCTTGAACGACCAGCCTATAAAGGGAATCCTTTATAGTTGGTCAGTGTTCCATGCACCTGATGAGAGAGGACCAGTAGGCCCTTTTGAAACAGTCCTGTTGTGCAATGATGTAATTTCTCCTTTTCTATTCAATTAAAAATTATATATATAAATATATACACCAGGTTTCATTGCAAATAAAAAAAATGTATTAGATATATATATATATATCTTTTGTTTTCTTGTCAAAAAGTGCCATTTTTTTTTATAAGAAAATTAAATAGAATAAATATTATTATATATATAATAAATATTGTAAAAATTTGCATATATATATATATATCATAATACCAAACCCAGTCTAAAAACTGGGCTGAAGGTATGACAAGGTCAAAGTTCTCTTTAGCAAAACTGCAACCCTTAGGGAACAAAAAACCCACTCAGTGAAATGTTGTGTATTTTATTCAATTATACAATAAACTCCTCACAAAGAACAAAGAAAACATGGACATCTTCAAAGGGCTTATTGCAATAGTATATGTGATAATATGAACACCGCAACAGTCCACAGCAAAACCTTCAAAGCAAGTTTTCTTTTCATCATTTTTTTCTGATTCAAGCATCGCTTACAACATACTTACAAATTGATTTCATTTTGGAACTACTGACCTTACACTCTTTACACTTTTTTGAATTATATTGAGTATATGGTGGCATCAAAGATTATTAAACATTAGGCCTGATTCCATTACAAAGAGCATCATGGTGCAGCAGCAAATACACTTTCAAAGGAGCAGGAACAAACAACTATATGCATACCACTCAGGAATTATTGATATTCTTTGTCAAGTTTTTACACTGTCCAAACCATGCAGAGAGGTGCTCTTTCAAAGCTTCTGACTGTAGTGGAAAGAGAGACTTGGCATGGCTTTGGATGGACATACTTGGTGAAGGCACACAACCAGTTCTCCAACTAAAGTAAAATGCATAAAAAACTTTTTAACATTTGGGCTATAAAGAGAAATATCAGAAAATGGGCAAGAGGCTAGCAGGAAATTTTTACAGAAAGTTCTTAAAAGTCATCTACATTAGAAATCATTGAGGCATCAACCAGACTTGACACTGACCAAGCACCAAAAAATTCTTACACTATGTTCTAAACTGTGTAAAGAGTAGACAAGGGTTGTGCAAGTAGTAAAGGTCACACAAATGAAAAATAGGTCAAGAAAAATTTGTTGTATAACTGGAGTGGATTAATTGTGAAATTAAAAAGTTTCTGTGGGGTGGAAACCTTGATGGGCACAATGAGTCAATACCTTACCCTTCTAGAAAACTGCTGAACTAGTTTAAGTTAGAAAATCTTAAATGCATGCTAATCAATTCAGATTCATGAAGTCCTGCTAATTAGTTGAACACAGCATTACAAAACAAAGACCACCTAAACAGATGTCACAACAAAACCAAAAAAATTAGTCCAAATCAAAAGGAAGAGCCCTGGAAGAAGTGCAACAAACAAGAGCAGAGCAACTAGGTTTAGAAAGGAATATCCAGGGTTCAAATGTTGCAAGGCTGATTAGCTCTACCCAAGGTTAAATTTCAATAAATGTTTCTTTATTCCTTTATCCAAAAGCCTTCAAAAGACAATTTTCTCTATTTTTTAAGAGCATTCATTGATCAAACTTTAGACAAAATGTATTATACTTAATATTCTCAGTTTTAAACTTTCAGCTCTTAAATCAGATTTTACGCTAACCCTGGGTTATCTTGACCCAAATTTGAACAACCAGGCTGTGTACAGTCCAAGAAATAGATGGGAAGGAAAATTGGTCCTGATAATGCTTTGAAAGAAGGCTGGATAAGAGCCTTCTGTTGCCACTGCCATGCAAAGGCAGTGCAGGGGCACCAAATTAAGAAATCATTGTCTATCAAACACTTACAAATTTAGATTGTTCAAGCAGGGAGGACCATGTCAGTTAGGTTTTACTTTCTGTGTCAAAACATATAATATCATTTAAAAAAAATATATTGCTGGAGATCAATGGACATGCGTTGACCTTTGTCTTTGTACAAAGAATCACTTTGGTATAGATATTTCATAAGTATGGTTTGAACATAAAAACAAAACAAAACAATCTTCCCTATCCTTTGGCTTTTTGTCATGGGGTTGATACAAATCTTTCCAACAGAAAAAATTCTCCCACACACACTGCACGTAAAAAATTATTACAGTTTATAAAAGCAGCCGTTATGCTCGAGAACACAACGTACCTAGCCTGTAGCAAATAAGTACAGTTGAACAAATTAGATACTATACACTTGTGTGTATATTAATAAAATGTTTATAACATGAAAATATTCTGTGAAAAATATGGATTATCCTTTCTCTAGCTAATTCAAATAAACGTTCGTAGTCGCATAGCTGCACAGACTTTGCGTGATGACCTAACACTTGTTGTTGTTCCGTTATATTCCGTATCAGTTGTAAATTAAATGTATGAAGTCACAAAAGCTTTTGAAAATTTTTCAAATTGGCACATGCATGTGTTCCTTGTATGGAAGAGGTTTAAAAAATTGTGACGGCCTTTCTATCGAGGGTTTGAGTTCTTCTGAGACAGGCAAAGAATATTCGAATCAACATTACAACTCTGTTTTAAAACGATTTCACAACAAAATTCTTCAAACTAAAAAACAGTGCATGGAACCACTGAAAGAACCTACATACCAGCTTTTTTCGCCTGTTTTGGATAAAAATTACATTGTCAAAGATAGACAGTAGGAAGAGTGCACCACGAGGCTACGTTTTGTGAATTTTACAGCACATAGGAGATACTGCTGAGTAATCGAGGCCTTGTCAGCTCGATAGAGAGAGAGAGGGAGAGAAGACTACTCGAAATGTTGACGTAAATTTTTAAGTCCTTTAAAGAGACCACACCTTCCAACATAACAGTATTGCTCTCACGAAGAACTAGTATTTATGGACTTACAGATGCAAAAAATTTGTAGTCACCACGTGTACATGCTACTTCCTACGAAAAGCACGCTCAACTTCTCTGCACTCAGACCGAGGAACATATATTGGCTAAGGAGTTGAGAACTACAGCTTGTTCAATTTACGCATTCATGTTTTTTATCGCATTTCTTGTATGTTATCCTCTTTTTTGGAGATACTCTGCACAAAGTGTACTCTTCAATATGAGTTGAAACTAGGTATACTAGTATTAATATTAGTGCTCAGTGTCTACAAAAGACGCAAAAAATCGTCTTAAGACGATAGAGCGGTGATGGCTGAAACCTTCGAGCTTAAAACTATGTATTTATTACGAGGTCATAAATAAAGGATGTTGACAAACTCAATCATTACACAAAAGTTCAAATTACTTACCACATCGAGTTCCATCCATTCAAGATTGGGCGGCGAAGTGGCGAAGACACGCTATATATTATTATATAGAGCTTCTCGACTACTGTTGGCAACAAAAGTTCTCATAACCGCACAGATTCAACCAGCACCACTTCGACATATCAGCGAAAGTACTGAATTTATTGGAAGCACCATCGATTGTCTTCCCCTCGTGAAATTGACTCTCCCCCGTATTTCTCGCGTGATATGATAGCTACGATTTCGCTCGATCAGAGAACGCGATGCATTATGGGATTGTTGTTCGCATCTCACGCGATCGTTTTACAAAGGTTTCGTGTCAATATAACTCCAAACAGGCTTCTCCTTTAGCTAAGTGTTTGCAAAAAAGACAAATATCCTGATAATGCTTAAGTAAAGAAAAAGGTATAAATTTAAGATGGTTCTTCGCCTTCGCACTGAGTTTAACGAAGTGCTCAAAACCTGGGAAAAATTTTTACATATTTAGTTTGTGTATCGTTTAGGCCATCGGTTCGTCCGCTCGGCATTAGCTGGGACTGCCGATCGAGCCCCAGAGCCACTTTAGTAAAACATCACCTATGAAATTGCCTTGTGTTCTAAAGTTTCGCTGCCAGCTTAAGGTCACAAAAATCGGTGGAATCACTTTCCCGATTTGTTAGATGGTTACATTTTAACGAACTTATTCTGTTAAGCAATTTAAAATGTTTTATACCTCTACAGTTGTACGATGGTCTGTTTACGAAGAAAACATAAATCAAACGTTATATATACTTACCGCCAATAGTCAGGTTTGCTCGGTGTAATTGCTGTTGTTTTGGCTGAAGCAGAACAGAGTAAAGAGCGACTACGAGGATATGCACCGTCAAAATGACGACTGTGAGTTTTGCCAAGTTCCTGAGCGTACAACGCATCTTTGAAGTAAGTAAATACTATTGTAACCTTTCGTTTGATTTTATGAGGAAAGATGCCTTCTCGACTTACGCACAGCACTATCAGCAGAATTGCACTTGATATTGGTCAAGGCTTTTGCGTCTTTAAAACCCCTTGCGTGCTTTTGGCATCACTCACTATTCAGAAGAAAAAACTTCGTTTGGGCCCTGCCCAATCAGAGCAGTACTAGTATGATGAGACAAAGATACACCTGATATAACCAATCAGTAAGCCGCTTTTTTTTCCACGTGACCGCTCTCGACGGGAGGAAACGAGGTTGTTGTTAGGAAACATTGCTGTTTGAAACAATATCGACGCATTTCCGGAACGCAACACGCGTAGATAAACTTTATACCAGCATAGAAATTCTAAGGAACTTAAAAAGTTGAGTAAATCCTGTTTGAAGTTGTATAGAAAATGTGGCCACGAGCCGTTACAAAAGCTGGAGAAGAGGGAGTGTGACGTCTCTGAAACGATAGCGAGATATTTGTTATATTGGCAATGAAATTGAGTGAACAACAAAAATGAAACAAAACAAAGGAGAATGCAAAGTGGACATGGTTTGGTGTTTACGAGTACAATGAATGTTCAACATAGCGTGAGGTAGCAAGATCTTCAGCTTTCTGAAACTCTCGTCGTTTTGTGGCTTTTCCTTGCTCATCCTGGCATATTTAAACCAAAATTGTATTAGCAGCAAATCAAATTCGTGCCATATTGAAGAAAAAAATCTAACTCTTTTCGGACCATTGGGTATTACAACCAAAGTAACGGCCTTTTTTTCGAGCATGATCCACCTCGTTGGATTTGCGTGATAATTCCGCAAAAGGTTGAGAATAAATTATTCATGGGCCCCCAAGCAACCTTTTGCTATGAATATTTGCATTTGTGTGGTGATATAGGTCCTAACACTGACCTGATTCGTCTTTGTTTTTTTAAACCTCTTACGGAAAGAGACTTCTGAAAGTAAAGAATGGCTATCGGTCATAAAAACCCACGAGGTTTTCGCAAGAATCTCGCCGTAGTGAAACTGTTCTGCACTAACTCTGATGTCCTAACCGTGTCCTTAACGTATTTTGGCATGAAATATATGGCGATGATGTAAAGGTTAATGAAAACTAGTTCCTTAGAAAAGACACGACACGCAAAGCAATGGAAGAACCGCCATTGACTCCAAAACCAAGCTGGATTTCACACGTTTATCCGCAAATGACAATTAAGATGTCAATTGGAGCTATTTGATGGAATTGAAACTCGCTTTCAAAGACTTATCGGCTGTGTTTACGGCTATGTTGACAGCTGTGTTGACTGTCCTAACGTTTCTGTATTTGACAAATTTCAACAAATACTAGGTAAAATTTGTAGAACTCGTAAGAATGTTGTGATTGTCAGAGACTCCGATTCCTAACTGCTTATCCTTTATGGGAACGGAACGAAACTGAAATGCATCCTACAATTCCTCAACATCCACCGTTGACAATCGATAAAGCTTCCAGTCCTGATGGGATCTCTTCAAGCAGCCAAGATATTGCAGGTTCAAGGGGGTAAGTTTCCAAAGAAACTGTGATGCTTCGTCGTTGGGAGAGTACAACTCGATAATTTAGTGCTATCAACTGAGTTGAAAGCGTAAGAGTTGGCCACCGTAAAGAGTTTCAAGGCTGACTAGCTTTCTAGTTTCTAGCGTTAGCCCTTACATAGCGATAGATGCCGGAAGGGCATTTACGTCATCAATTTACGTTTTCAACTCAGTTGATAACACTGAATTACCCTATTGCAGGATTATCCTAAGTGAGCATTTTAAGTGTTTTACATAACAGTTTTTCTCGGTGAAGCTTTCCCAATCCTTATAAGATTACCAAAGGTAATTTTTGTGTATCAAATTATGGCACATTTCATTTTTAAGTATACCTAGTAAGCCCCTTGAAATTCAGATGTGCACCATAATTGACAGCCATCTGAACAGTGATACAATGAGCTGTAAACAATAGCGATTTGCTGAGGGACTATCAACTGAAGGAACGCTGATTTCAGTGATTAAATGGAGGAAGATAACAGTTCATAATAGTGTTACAGCTAGAACAGTCTTTATAGATTTTCAAACAAACTTTCTACACTGTCCTTCACCGCTTAATATCATACAAATTACATCCCGGTACATCAGGATATCTCCATGACTGGCCCATGAGCTATTATTGAAGTAGACACCAGTTTACTAAGGTCAATAATTGCAAGTCTACCACAGACTATGTGCACTATGGTGTCTCTTAAAGCTCGCTTGTTGGGTCCAGGTTTTACCGACCATCTGTCAATGTGCTCCAAACCACAACAATCTGGATATTTATTTATGTCGGCAAACAACACTACGGTTTACTGCTCTGGTCCAAGTGTGGTTAATATCGAACAAAACAGTAAAGCAAATCCTATCCTTGGGCACCAAAAACCATCTAACCACCTATTAAAAACTGAGGCAATGATACTGAGAAACCCACTTTTATTTGACCTGTGCCCCTGCCTTGTTTTAACTTAGGCCCCATTACCCTGATCGACTCTAGATATACCTCTTGCCAAGGAGTTGAGATTGATTTTAGGCTTTCATGGTCACTGTCAGTGCATATTGACTCCCAAAGAAGCCCTTTTCTCAAAAGATTGGAGGTTATAGAAAATTAGAGCTTCTCCCATGAATATACTTGAGGAAATATACTTCCTTGCTGTTATTTTAAGCGTTACATACAATAATAAAGAGTAGTTTTGAAAAATGGTTTTTCATCTGCGTTGAAACTCTCAACTCATCTAGCCAAGGCCATCTTATGTTGTGAACAACTTTCAGCCATCGTTAGCAGGTCTGTGATACATACCTTGCTAACTCCAACTGGCAGCTCATTTCCTATATTTATTACAGATCCATCTTAATGTTAATTGTTTTTTAAAAAAAGACATTTGAGAATTTTTTTTATTCTGCTTATAACCTACGCCATATTTCATAATATGCATTTCTGCTTACAATGCTGTATCCTGATGGTGTTTTGAAACTTCGAGTAAAAAGTTTTATCAACGGTTCTCGAAAAGAAAATCGTCCACGTCATCTTGCATTCAAAGCAATTCCACATCATTGAGTTTAAATCATTCAGTGGTTGGAACCGTCTACAGTAACTGGGTCCTGCGATCAGGAAGTTCGAGTTAATGATTAGATTACTGACAGAACCTACGAGTTCTTATTTTCTGAGCAGACTCTTAAAAAAGCAACCTTAAGACATTGCCAAGTTCTCCTTCAAAAAAGTAACACCCTTGCACGCTACGAAAACAAATGATTTTATACATGTTTCACAGTTGTACTCCATAGATTTTAATAATTTAGGAGGTGAGCATAGCTCCAAAAATTTGCCGCTGTCACAGCTCTATGCCATTTTAAACAGCAATCCTTTTTCGTGCTGTGGTTTGCCTCCCCTTTTCCTTCTTGCTGAAGAAATTCAGGGATTCACTATTTCTTGATAACTGGGCTTTTTGAATCCAAAAATTTCATAGTCTTTTGCGTATATATTCTGCAGTCGTGTGAATTCTTCTTGTGATATTCCTGAATAGAAAGTCTTCATCTTCGTTTGTGATCCTTGTCCTTCGGGTGCAGCTTCGACATTTGGGAATGTAACCTCTTCATCAGCTCCCATCAACATAAGAGCGAGGTCAGCATCTGCTTTGATATTATCATAGATGCCAACGAAGTCGTAATTTATATCACACGGAGCGCATAAATTATGCTGACGATCCCAGTGTTCATCATGAGAACTAAAAGGTGTAGTAATCGCGTAATTTGCGAATTCCTTAAATGTAGGATAATGTGGTGTTAACCCCGTAGAGTTCTTCCGCATCCTTCTGATGATGTCTAGGCCGATGCTGTAATAATATCCCTTCCTAGGGGGAACAACAGGCGCAAATTTACTCCGGTAGGCCGACAGAAATCGCTCCATAGGTTCGCGAACAAATGCAATCTTTTTGTATGTTTTTAACATGTGATCTACTACTGTAGCGTTTGAATAATGTCTCAAAAAGCGTAACTTTCCTGAATCATGCGAAGTTTCGTGGGTGATATCTTCCGACGAGTTGAAATGTTCTTCTAAAACGTGAAAAATTCGTTTCCAGTTGCTACATGCTACTTTAGGAACGAAACAGAAGAGTGTTTTGTAACGCTCGGACACGATAAGGTGATGTTTGACGACATATTGAATAGGTTTTCTTCTACCTTGCTTGGTACAAGCAGAAGAATTCCAAGGCCGATATCTTTCCTCTAAAAGTCTGATCTGAAAAAAGGGAAATTAAAAATGATTTAAGGTGATAAACATTCTCAACAAGGCTGGAACATTTAAGGCGCTAAATCGCCGAACCAGGGCTTCGTCACGAATCGATTCGTGTTTACTGCTTACAAAACAAGTCTTTGTGTCCTATTTTGTTGCTACGATTATTGCATTTGTGCGACCTGTTTCAGGGACAAAATTATGTGTCTGGGATAACTGTATGATTCCTAGGGACACCAAGAGAACGTATAAACATGTTCACGTTTTTGACTCCAAATGAAAACCATAGAGAGAGAAGGAAGGAACCAAAATTATTCTTTCGAACTGTTTGTCAAGGTGAATACAAACAATTCTCAAATTCGGCTCCCACGATGCGTGAGTAACGCGTGATATACAGTTGCTGAATCATTATTACTTACACGTAATGTAAATCCAAACATTCTGGCCAATTTTTTTTTGGGCATATTCACCTGACACTATTGTAGGTTTTGGTTAAAATGGTAATAAGCTTTAAAAATGGTTTTTACAATTTAACATTAAAATACCACTAACTAAAACAAAGAGAGAATATATTGTTCCATTTGCCACTCCCCGTAGCTGGAGAGTTCGTTGAAAATAGATCTTCTTTGAAAAAAGAAGACATACAAAGAAAAACGTACAAAAGAAAAACCTTGAAAATTCAGTTAAGGGCGTGTAATAATAGAACCCTCATTTCCCCTAAGGATGTTAAACCTCATTAACGAAATTGTGGTTGATTGCATGCTTTATCAACCAGCAAAAGGAAAGTCAGTCGTTGGTCATCTGAGCAAGGTGACCGTAGATGTATGTGTGACTTTCGTTCTGTGTACTACTGGGATAGACTCTCTGTGTGGAATAAATTTTTAATTATGTTTTCGACAAAACTACTCTTCAAGACATGAGCCCAAGGTAAGTCGTGCGGAAAATGGCCTTTCTCTTCTCTCGGGGAATGACCTTTGTCTCTAATCCTAAGCCATTAATCTGTTAATGATACGTTTCGTTCACTTTTTCCTTTGTCTATTTTTATCTTGGGCATGTGTTCTAATGATTGCAGGATTTCAGTGAGGTTAAGTACAGTTTTATTTCAGTGAGGAGAAGCATTTTTTTCCAGAAAAGTCTTTTTTCTCAGCAAAGGGCTTTTGAGTTGTTGTACTACAGTAAAACAGGTTTATAGAGGCACTCTGGATTGAAAATGAGCGCAAATTAAACCCAATAGTTGAAAATTAGCCGCATTCGATTTGTGTGAAAATACTGAGAGACATAAATCCGAAAGTTAGCACTATTTTAGGATTATATTGTTTTGAGTACAATTGATAACTTCAAATTCACTATTTAATTTTTTCAAAGTAATGATATTCTACGGGAGAACGTAATGAATTCCAAACCCAAATTGCAACCTACAGAAGTAAGGTGTCAAAATGGAAATGCATTTTACAGACCTGCAGGTCTGCTGCGGGTGTGAAAATAACATGTTTTGGTCGAGAATGGGATCAGACACACCCCCCTGGTAAGAATTCTGACGAGTAGAAAATTACAGTCACTCACTGAATTTTCAACTGATTACTTACCAATGCCTCTCTCTTCATCTGTTTAATATTCTGGGAATCTGTTAAAAATTCAATTAAAATTTATTAGAAATCTGAATGTTGATAAAGGGAGTTTACAAGATGCAACCGTTCTACTATCTCAAAAAAATACAGATGATCGAAATTATAACGAATTATTAAGCGGTAGTGTTCAACGTTAAGGGGTTGATTTGACGTCCGTCACAGCAAAGTCGTACTTCAACCGTATCTTCCTCTTGCATGTCTGTTCTAGATTTCAAATTTAATAAAGAACGCGTTATTTTGTTGATGATGGAGTTTCGCTTATGCAGTTAAAGGCGAATTAAAGTTGTAAATTTTTGTCTCAGAAGTTTCAAACGTGCAGCTCAGGAAATACAAGGTGATGGAATTTCAGTTCAAATAAGAACAACATTAACAACAATTCTACGTTTAATATTGTGACAACAAAAAAAAAACGCTAACATGGACGTTTCACTTTCTAAGATATATATATTTAGCGACTGATTCGCCACATAAATATTAAAAGGGACACTAACACTGTTTTAATAAGATAACCTAGTAACCCTAACTCAGACAGAAGCACAAATTCGTAATTGTTCAAAATATATTTTTACGACGTGCGCAGCGAATACAACCAATATTCAGTTATGCAGCGCTGTCTGAGCAAACACTTCAGTCGAAAAAGTGTTTTAAGAAATGGTTGATATTTTCATCTACTCGTACCCGCAAGCCTTTAAAATCTGGGATCTTCAGAGGGCAGTTTTTGCAGAGCGATTGCAGTTCCAAGAACACGAAAAGTATGGTCGAGCAACAAGATTGGCAATCGTTTGAAATATGAATAAATTTCTCTACGCTTTCGCTTATTGGAGATAGCTTTTTTTTTTTTACAAATGTTCCTGAAATGGCTCTAAAGCCCGTCTGTGAAAGTCGAGTGTTTCAGGTTTAATGCATAACGTCACAACAATACAATTGCAATCAGTCAAATTAGCGGGGAGTTAAAAGCGAGACCAATATTTTGGTAGCGTTGAATAACGAGAAAGTTGTTTATTATGGATGGTTGTCACCTTAGGCACTGAGTTTGACTCAGTCTGAAAAACTGGCGAAAGTATTAATTCATTTTTTGGTTTCGTTGGGAGGCATTGTCGGTTCGTGAGGTCGGCAGTGGACAAGACCACTGGGTATGGTGCGTGCCACTTCAGAAAAACATCGCTTAACCTTGTGTCGTCTTTTACAGTTCCGCATACAGATTCAAGTCATATAAATGGATTCATTCTCCCAACATTTTTTATGTGGTAATTTTAGTGGTATCAACCGAGTTGACGTTGACGTTGACGTTTCGGGCGTTTGCCCTTCGTCAGAGCGATGGCGAAGGGGCTAACGCTCGAAACGTCAAGTTACTAGTTGAACACAAACAGATGTCATGATTACTTACCGTTAGTACTTCGATTTGTTTCATAAATTACTGAATAAAATGCCCCTGCAAGGACATGCACCGTCAGAATGACGAATGTAACTTTTGCGACGTTCCAAAACGAACAACGCATTTTGGAGTTACGTACGTACTTCTGCAACCTTTTTTTGATTCAATAAGAAAGATTCCTTCGCAATCTACGCACAACTCTATCGGCGGAATCACACTTGGTATTGATTAAGGGTCATGCCTTCGATATATCTATAAGTGCTCTCTATCTCACTCAAGTTTCAGTGGAGGAAATGGCTTATGTGGGCCCTACCCTATCAGAGAGCAGTATGTCGAAAGCCTTTAAGGTAGCTCAATCATGATATAACCAATCAGGAAGCCGCTCTTGTTCGCTCATGTGATCGCCGAGAAGGAAACATGGCGGTTGTTAGGGCACATTGCATTTTCGAGGGGAATACGAGACAAAAACGCATCAAGAGAAATTTCACCAGGAAATAAAATTCTGAATGTTCTAAACACTGAGTAAATTTTCAATAAAGTCAAATTTACAGAATGGCCGGGCACCTTTCGAGACCTTCTGAGGAGTACGTGCAAAGTCTGTTGAAAGATAGCGAAATATTTGGCACTGAAACCGCCCAAACAATACAAATATATTAAGTCACTGAAGAATACTTAGTGTATTTGACCATTTCCATGTAAGTACATGGTATAGTGCTCACAAACACATTCATTTTTCAATTACTTATGCAACATCGCGGTCTCTTCAACAATTGCACAAGTGCTACGGTCGCTTTCGAGAGCGCGAATGGTGAACACAACGCGAAGAAAGCCGCACAAATTAAGGAGCCACATGAAATTTTTTTTTAAAATCTTAACTCGACCTACACCTTGCCACCTTGTCTTGTAAAATGTTTGACGAATGGCATGGGATTACATAGGATAATATTGAAGTTGGGTCACTTAAAGTATTATGAAAATTAACGAATTATGAAAAATTAATGTATATGATTGTGCGTACATTTTGTGGCATGGTATGTTTGTGTACAATCAGTGACAATTATCTAAAGCGCTTCTTTCGTGGCTTTTCATACTCATGCGTTTTTCCTTCAGTTAATAGAGAATCTTCAAACGTGGGACGTTTCGGCTAATGCCGGTGTCACAGCGGATTTGGACCCCCGCGGATATGGATCCCCCTTCGCAGATTTGGACCCTTCCCCCCCCCCCCTTGCGGATTTGGACCGAGGAGTCCATATCCGCTGGGACACCGGCCCACGAAACCGGCTTTTTATACTCATTTGTTGTTCATTTAACAAAGAATCTTTCAGCCGTAGAAATTTCCAGCTGATGCTGACCCACAAGACTGGAAGATCGAGAGAAATCACGAAAGTTGCCGGAATTAAGAAGAAAATTACGATGGGCGATCTGGCCATGAAAAAAGTTAAGTAATGGTCTAACTTGGGGATCGCTTACGATTCCAGGACTGACTTGCAGTCCCGCGATTATTTGCGAAGTGTACACTTCATTATGGTCACATTTATCCACAATCAACACAACCTGAACTGATTTAACTTAAGAAGGCTACTGTTGGAGGAAGTTTGGTTCTTATGCCAGTCAGTCATTTCCTAACTCACGATCATTTACGGAAGCCATTCGTCAGCAGCGCGCTTGATTCTTTAAATCAAGCGCAGTTGTGTACCTACGTGTTATCATCCAACTGCACTTCGTAGAGTACGAATAACGCGCGAATAGAGTACGAATATCCTGCGATATTGTACGGTTATCTGGACCGTTGGTTATTTTGTACTGAAAAAAATACCTGTTTAACTAGTCGGCTGCGCGCACTACGCTGCTCTATCTGCTTTGCTTTTCCCGCGTTATGAGAAATGAACAGACTTGGCTGAACAAAAAAGCAACAGAAAGACTTGGCTGAACAAAAAAGCACTAGGGTAATTGCCAACGAGCCAGCCGAGCGAAGACGCGAGGCTGGCGAGGCGGCAGCATTATAGAGCCGTGCGAGAGTATTGTACAGGCGGAAAAAATCTCGAGTGATTGTAAGATGTCTGTAAGGTAAGATTCCTGAGATTCCAATGACGTAATGTGAATAGGCTTTGTTTTGCAACGGACCAATGGTAGCGCGCAAAGATCGTGACGTCAAGTCCACATGGTGCTTATCGTGGACGCTTAGCAGCTTTGTCATTTATCGAGCGGAGGAGCGAGCAAGTTTGAGGTAAGAAAATTGTATTTTTCACCTACCTTTGTAAGTTTTATTTCCAATTCTGCGTGAGTGCACTTAAGTTAAGTGCCTTTGTGGTATAATTATCGAGTTAGCAAGCTCAGTAACCGGCCAGTGTGCCAAAGTCGGCCAGTGTGCCAAGTTGACGAGTGTGTCAAAGTCGGCAAGCGTGCCAAATGTAGACAACGCCAGCAGGCATAGAGCAATCAAAGAAACTGAGAAACCACCGAATTAAACAAAACAAAGCTCAAACAAACGATAATCGTAGCAAACTAGCGGCCAGTAAGCCAACTTTGACACCATTAGCGAGCAGAAAGCAATCAAAGTTGTAGCAAACTAGCGGCGGCGAACGAGCCACACGTGAGAGTGCCAAAGTCGGCAAGGGTGCCAAATCTAGACAACGCCAGCAGGCATAAAGCAATCAAAGAAAGTGAGAAACCGCTTGAAACTGTATTCAAACAAAACAAACGATAGTTTTAGCAAACTAGTGGCCAGTGAGGCAACTTTGTCACCATTAATAGCGAGCAGTTAGACAACGCCAGCAGGCATAAAGCAATCAAAGAAACTGAGAAACCGCTTGAAACTGTATTCAAACAAAACAAACGATAGTTTTAGCAAACTAGTGGCCAGTGAGGCAACTTTGTCACCATTAATAGCGAGCAGAAAGCAATTAAAGTTGTAGCAAACTAGCGGCGAGCTAGCCACGAAAGAGTGCACTCGTCATTGGCCACTGAACCAACTTTGTCACCCCACAAACAAGCTGAAAACAATCGAAGCAACTGAGATTCAACTTAACTTAAGCTTGAGTTAAATTCAAAGGAAACCTAACGCGGCGGAAGTGCATTGGAGAGCGAGCAAGCTGCAATAATCAACTGTCAGCTCGATCAATTCTTTCGACTGTTATTAATATCAAGCGTATCACGAATTTTTGAAGCACAGACTTTTTGCCCACTAAAATACAAGGTACACCTAGAGCAATAAACCGCACAAAAGTTTGAAAATGATGTGGCTATTGTTTATGTTGCTACTCTTTCCCAATCGTACTGCCCACAATAATCTGTTAGAATTGGGGAGTGTGTGCCCAAAATGCAGCATGATCTATTTCAGATTTAGGGGGAGATACTTGTCAAGGCGAATAGCTTATCCTTCTAATGGTAGTTTTAATCCCTTCGTTATTTCAAACAAGGAGGCACACATTGTGAATGGGAACATAAATTCAGAAGTGTTGGAAGAAAAACGCAATGCAATATGTAATAGCACTGATAGTAATTCTACATACATGTGTGAAGGATCAAATGTAAGAGATCACTTTCGTAATTATTGTTTGACCAACGTAGGGAAGTTTTCTTGTGCAGTTGATTGCTTTCTTGAGCTATGTTATTTTGTTT